TTTCTCTATTAAATTTTAGGCATGTTTCGTGGGCCCCTTATAGGAATAATGGTAGGAATAGATTTGCGCCTCATTGTTGGGTTCGGGGTGTTACAACTTCCTCACCTTAATACCCAACCGATCTTTGGCCCTTTTTTTTCCTTCAAGCTTTTTTTTTTTATTCTGGAATATATTTTATTCTCTTATTTTGGATTAAACTTTGGTTATTCCATGTCATTTATCTTATTCTTTATAATTTGTTTACATATTGTTCTTCATTTTTGAATTTCTTTATATGTAATCACCCATTTATTTGTGATTTTCAATTTGCCTTAGAATATCAATATTTCATTTCTAATCAATACCAAAATTAGATTAAAATTGCTAAATCTAATTTGTTACACTTCCAGATCCTTCAAAATTGTTTTGCTATTTACATCTTGACATTTCCAAGAGTTTACACATTCTTTGATTTGTTGAAAGTTTAAACAACTTCAACTACTTATTTATTATTTTATTTTATTTGATAGGTTATCCTTCTTACATCAGAATAAGTTATCATGAATCTTGAATACTTATGTTTATTAGTTATTCAAACTCAATATAAGTTGATGTTCTTATGCTTCTCTCTATATTTGTTAACTTTAACATTATTTTTATTTTGATGTTTAAATTGTAACACTCAATTGAAATAAAATTTTATTTTAGTATTTTTATTTTTTATTTATTTGATTTTTATTTAATTTAATTTAATTTAATGAAAATAAAAATTATAATAATGATAAAAGTGGGTAAAAATATTATTTGTATTTAATTGAAATTCATTTTGGGAAAAAGGGGTGAAAATTTGGATTCTAGGGTATTTTTGAAAAGAAAATTGAAAAATGGGGGTAAAAACGTAATTTAAAAAAATTGTGCCACGTCAGCACCCACCTCAGCAGCCACGTCAGCGGCCCAGTCAGCAGCCCCAGCCAACCAGGACCCGCCGCGTGGCAAGGCAACGCTGACCAGGGAACAGACCACGTAGGCAATCCGCGTGCGCGCGATCGAACGTCCCAGATCCGTTCCCGCGCGCACGGACAGCCTAGATCAAACGTGCGCACGGACGACCCAGATTCAATCAGGCATGGACGATCCAGATTACATCGCGATGGATGGCCTAGATATAATCCCAATTAAATCGCGATCGAACGGTTCAGATTTAATCTTGATGGACGGTTGAGATTAAAAGGCAAAGGGTATAAATAACCCCACCCACACCTGACCACAAAAACCCTAGTCGTCAGTGCCTCGCCGGAGAAGAAGAACCAAACGCCGGAGGAGCCGGTCGCCGCCACCCACCGCCGCACCGAGGAAGTTTTCGACCGCTGATCGAGGTAAATTTTCTCTCCCTTGCTCGTTTTTTGATGCTGAGTCCGCCTATGGCCAAACCGAAGCCAAACCACCGGCCAAACGGCCAAAAAATCCAGCCGAAGCCCAGCAGCACCTTCGCGCCCCTCCTCGATTTTTGCCTCCGATGAGGCCCTTTCCAGCCTCCGTTCGGTGCAAATTTTATACCACTGTGATCATCGTTCCTTTTTCTACAGGTTAATTAGAGCCAAACATCAAAACACGACTCACGCCGGAGGAG